TCAATTGGTAAAGAATCTGCCTGTGGTCCACTGGCTAAGACTCTGTGCTCCCAAAACAGGAAGTCTGGGTTTGATCCCTGGTCAGGAAGCTAGATCCCACATGCTGCAACTAAAGATCCCACATGTCACAACTAAGACCAGCACAGCCAAATAAATAAACATAAATATTAAAAATTATACATACATTAAAAATTAAAAAAAAATCTGCCCGCAATGCAGGAGACCCCGGTTTGATTCCTGGGTCAGGAAGATCCCCTGGAGAAGGGAAAGGCTACCCACTCCAGTATTCTGGTCTGGAGAATTCCACAGACTGTATAGTCCATGGGGTCACAAAGAGTTGGACATGACTGAGTGACTTTCACCTCACTCCATTTCAGTGTCCTCACAGGTTAACTGAGATTTAAAGGTGCACCTCAAAGGGTTGTTAAGATTAAATAAAACAACAAAAACATACCCAGACCAAAAAATCCCTACAACTAACATTATACTTAATAGTGAGAAACTCAAAGCTTTCTAAGATCACGTACAGTGCCTTCCCTGGTGACCCAGTGGTTAAGACCCTACACTTCCACTGCACAGGATGTGGATTTAATCCTTGGCCAAGGAAGTTACCCATGCTGTGACGTGTGGCCAAAAAGAAAAAAAAAAGATCAGGCACAAGGCAAGGATATTCCCTCTCACCATTCTTTTTCAACATTACTGTTGTACTGGAAATCCTTGCTAATGCAATAAAGAAAAAGAAATAAAAGATACACAGATTGGGAAGGAAGACATAAAATTGCCTTTGTTCACAGATGACACTATCATTTATGTAGAAAATCTGAAAGAACAACAACAACAAAAGTCTGCTGGAACTAATGAGCAATTATAGTGTGGTTGCAGAATACAAAGGTTAGTATACAAGAGTCAGTTGCTTCCTATATACCAACCATGAACAAGTGGAATTTGAAATTAAAAACAATGTCATTTAGTAACCAGAAATGTGAAATACTTAAGTATAAATCTAGCATAGCAAAGCATTTATAAGATCTATAAGGAAAACTAGAAAATTCATTAAAAAAATCAAAGAAGAACTAATTAAATGGAGAATTAGTCCAAGTACATGAATAGGAAAACTCAATATCATCAAAATATCAGTTCTTCCCAACTCAGCCTATAGGTTCAGTAAATCACAACCACAATTGCAGCAAGTTATTTTATGGATAGCAACAAACTGATTCTAAAGTTGATATGGAGAGGCAAAAGACCCAGAATAGTCAATACAATGTTAAAGGAGAAGAACAAAGTTGGAGGACTGACACTACCTGATTTCAAGACTTACTATAAAGCATTTTAGTCATCAAGAAAGTATGATATTGATGAAAAAATAGACAAATATATCAATAGAACAGAATAGAGAACCCAGAAATAGACTCCCATAGAGCCAACTAATCTTTGAAAAAGAACCAAAAGAAATGCAATGGAACAAAGATAGCCTCTTCAACAAATGGTGTTGGACATCCACTTGCAAAAAGAAAGAAAGAAAGAAAGAAAGGACTTTAGACACAGACTTTACACCCTTCACAAAAATTAATAGATCACAAGCCTACATGTAAAATGCAAAACTATTAAACTCCTAAAGAAAACATAGAAGAAAATCTAGATGAACCTGATACCTTTTTAGATACACCATCGAAGACATGATATGTGAAAGAAATAATTGATAAGGTCAACAATTAAAATGTAAAACTTCTGCTCTGAAGTAGATAATATCAGGAGAATTAAAAGACAAGCCACAGACTGGAAGAAAATATTAATATTTGCAAAAGATACATCTGATAAAGGATTGTTATGCAAAATATATTTTTAAAAATGATTATCAATAAAACTCAACAAATAAGAAAACAAACAACCCAGTTAAGAAGTGAACCAAGACCCTAACAGACACTTCACCAAAGAAGACATACAGATGGCAAGCTCCACATCATATGTTATCAGGGAAATGCAAAATATGTAATAAAAGAGCAATGAGATGCAACCACACACCTATTAGAATGGCCCAAATCTAGAACACTGACAATATTAAGTGCTGGTGAATATGTGGAGTAACAGGAGTTTTCACTCACTGCTGGTAGGAATACAAGTTGGACAGCCTAGCTGGGCAGCCTTTCACCATATGATCCAGGAATTGTGCACTTTGGTATTTCCCTGAGGGATGAGAAAACTTATGTCCACACTGAAACCTGAACATGGATGTTTATAGCAGCTTTATTCATAATTGCCTCAACTTGGAAGCAAACAATGTCCTTCAATAGCTGAATGCAACAACAGTGATACATCCAGACAATGGAATGCTATTTGGCACTAAAAAGAAGCGAGCTAATAAGCCACAAAAAGACATGGAGGAAACTTAAAGTGAAAGAAACCAATCTGAGAAGGCTACATACTGAATGATTTCTACTCTATGACAATCTAGAAAAGGCAGTGTTATGGAGATGACAAAAGTATCAGTGGTTGCCAGGGGTGGGAGGTAGAGAGAGATAACTAGGCAGATCATAGAGAATTTTTAGGGCAAGGATATTATATATATAATAATTATAGATATGTCATTATACAGTTTTCCAAACCCAATGAATGTATACCACCAAGAGTCAACCCTTAGGTAAAATTTTGACCGTGCTGCATGGCATGTAGGATCTTAGCTTCCCAACCAAGGATGGATCTCATGCTCCCTGCAGTGGGAGCATGGAATGTCAAGCAATGGACCACCAGGGAAGTCCCTCGTGACTGACGTTAATAATGGAGATTATGCACATGTAGGCTCAGGGGCTATATGGCAAACCTCTGTACCTTCCTCTCAATTTTATTATAAACCTAAAACTGTTCTAAAAATGTGGTCTTTAAAACATTGAACAAATAAAGACCTGGCACATAATAGAACATATATTGTCTCATTTCTCATTCTTTCCTCATATTTTTTTTCTTTCCTTTTTAAATATTAATATATATGGTTAGGTCGATTAATTATTTGGTTCCTCCAAACTTTGGATGGTTTCTTATCCCTTTGATTCCTTCTCACTTTCAGGTGCCAACTCATTTATTCTTCTTTCTCCTCCCCTGCCTCTTCCTCATTTTTTTTTTCATCTCCTTCTCTCTTTTCCCTATATACTGAACTCCCCGAGGCCATTTTTCCATTTGGAAAAGAGAAACAATAATGAACTGTTTCAAGTATCAAATGAATAAGTAAAACTATTAGCTCAGTGCCTCACCTGAAAGCTCCAAGACATCATTAACTTTGCTCTCATTTGACCTTCTGCAAGGCCAGTATGAAATATAGAACACTATAGAAATGTTAGTTGTTTATTTTTTTCACCTAAAGTATCATGGTGAATTGGGAAGATTTGAAAACACATGGGTTTTGAAAACCCAGGTTTGAAAACACATATGGTTCCACATAAAATCGAATTTTTACGAGCCTCAATTTTTCTAAGCTGTAGAGTGAGTAACAATATATGCCTTCCCTCCTTAGTTTTTTTCTTTCTTTCTTTTTTTCCTTCCCCAGGAAGTAAAAGAGTCAATATTACAGAAAAGCATCCCTCTATAAACACATGTTGTAATCATGATAAGATGGTTTCCTGGAGTCACAATGGGGACACTGTTACAAGGATTCAATGGGATACAATTTTAATTTTAAGATGTCTGATCAATAGTAAATATTCAATTTGTTTAGTCGCTAAGACTCTTTTGCGACCCCATGGACTAGTGTCAGGCGCCTCTGTCCATGGGATTTCCTAGGCAAGAATACTGGAATGGGTTGCCGTTTCCTTCTCCAGGGGATCTTCCCAACCAAGGGATCAAACCGGACTCTCCTACATTGCAAGGTAGATACTTTACCATTGAACCACCAGGGAATTTTCAATATATGCTAGTTATTACTATCTCCTTTATTGTTTCCACTTTTTTCTCTTGTTCCTCCAAAAGAATGAGTGGTTGCTACACCCAGGTGATCTCTGCTACTGGACGTCTATTACTGATGTCTTCTTCTCTACCTTCCTTCTTCATCCTACCTTCCTTTTTTCTTTCTGACCCTCTCTTCCGATCACAGCTTTCCTCTCACCTCAAGCACCCCCATGAAGCCAGAAGTCGAGCTATTAGGCAGCTTAGATCTAACTATGAACAACCCCTGAACTGCCTAAGACTAGGAGCCCCCTCCTCATTTAGCGTCTAGCACCCGACCAACAATAAAGTTTTATTGAAACAAAGCAGGAAAAAGAGCCGCCCATCAGTCTTTCCTCAACAGCCAATCAGAAAGCAGAATGCCCGCGTCGCTCTTGGGAGCTTGAGCAGTCAGAGGCGAGGGCGGAGCATGTCGCGCCCGAAATCCGCCCCGTAAGAGCGGAAGTACGGCCGGAAGTCAGCCATAGAGTTTAGGGGCCAGAGTGACCCTGCAGGGAGGTGGCAGGAAAAGCTGAGAACAGCTGCCGGAGGTGACGGAGCGGTGGCCCCGCCCGGTGCGCTGGAAGACGGAGCTTCCAGGTAGCGGCCCGCAGAGTCTGACCCACAGTACGACGGGGTAGCCGGCGGGAGCCCACGGTCCCTCGGCGGCCTCTTTAAGGGAGGGGGCGGAGCCACGTGAAAGGATCGCTAGGGTGAGGTCACGTGGTGTGGGGCACCTGCGGGGCACACTGGATATTTGGGGGAGCGTCGTCTTTGGGGTGGACACTGTGTGACATCCCTTCCCCCACTGAGACTTGTGCCTTGGAGGTCCATGGGGTGCACGTGGTGGGATTTGGGAATAGGCTCAGGTATGGGGGAGGTGGGCGTGACAACGCTGTATCAGCCAGGGTGCCATCGAAGTGGCTGATTTTAGGATTCCTAAGATACGAGGGTTACTCTATGGTTACAAAGTGGCTCAGTGCCTCTGCAATCCAGCACCTAGGCCTTGTGCTTTCCAGCTTCCCATCCTCTTTCCTTGCAGCTCCAGACTTCCTGAGCCCAGGTCCCCCCAGCTCAGCGCCAACATGAGTGCCGAGGTCAAGGTGACAGGGCAAAACCAGGAGCAATTTCTTCTTCTGGCCAAGTCCGCCAAGGGGGCAGCGCTGGCCACACTCATCCACCAGGTGCTGGAGGCCCCTGGTGTCTACGTGTTTGGGGAACTGCTGGATATGCCTAATGTTAGAGAGGTGGGTTCCTGACCTGCATAGCTCCCAAGGAGGCTTGGGGCTGAAGACTGAGAATGGGTGGACAGGGCTCATTTTGCAACCCCATAACCATTCAGCTGAATAAGAGCTTGTAATTCAGAATAGGAGACCTGATTCCAGCTTGTCTCCATCAATGTCATAGCTCTTAATAATCATATTACCTTGATTGTAGTGTGTGTTAGTTGCTCAGTCGTGTCTAACTCGTTGTGACTCCATGAACTGTAGCCCACCAGGCTCCTCTGTCCATGGGATTCTCCAGGCAAGGATACTGGCATAGGTTGCCATTTCCTACTCCAGGGGATCTTCCCCACGCAGGGATCAAACCCCGGTCTCCTGCATTGCAGGCAGATTTTTTACTGTCTGAGCCACCAGGGAAGCCTTTTACTTTAATCAGCTCACTTTTATTTTAGGACCTACATTTTCTTTTTTAAAAATGGACATGGGGGCTTCCCTCACAGTCCAGTGGTTAAGACTCCACCTTCCAATGCATGGGGTGGAGGTTTGATCCCAGGTGCGGAAACTAAGATCCCACATGCCACATGGTATGGCCACAAAAGCAAAACAAAAGAGACCTGTTACTGCCCCTCAATGTCGTAGAAATCAAGTGAGATTATGCGAAAGTGTAAAGTCTGGTACAAATAGAAGGAATGATTGTGAAATAGTCATGACCAGTTCTCTTCCCTTTACAGCATACGTGAATTCATTTAAGTTAGCTAAGGTAGAAGTTATCTTTTTCTTCAAGACACACAATAAGATGCTAGGAACACAGGGGAGAGAACTGTTCACACAGAAGTGATAGAGTTAAAAGTCCAGAGTGAGTAGGTTACCAAGATGTATGGCACCAGCCCAAGTCCTGAGATACTATGACAGTGGTAGGTGGGTGAACTCGGAGTAAATTTTTTGAGGGCCAGTGATTGAGTCAATGCAGTTAGCCTTTCAGGATCCTTCTCGTCCCAAAGAAAACTGGCTGCCTTCTTTCCCTGCTTTCCTCTGCAGTGGAATAAAAGAGAATCAAGGGGAAGGAAAAGAGGTAGGTTTTGGGTGCCTGTTTAGCACTCTGCTAGTCATCTGGGAATACCAGAAAAGTACAAGCCACAGGGCTCCCCTTCTGAAACGTACATTCTAGTTGCAGAGATAAGACGAGTGGATATCCATGTATAAATCACTTATTTAGCAAGTATTTATCAGCAGAGCCAAGTACATGCACATTTCTGCTAGACTTGAGTGGGATAGCAGGAACCAGGTCTGTAATCTTGTTGAAAAGAAAGACATTGTTAGGTAATGGCTTTGATGGACTAAGTGGGCGGTCAGTGGTAGGAGGAGAGGAGGTCTGAGTAGACTGGCTTGGGTGATGCACACTCCCAGCTGAGGCCAGTCTGAAGCAGAGGCACCTCCCAATGCCTGCCCAGATCCTGCAGCTGTCAAGGGAGTGAGGCCAGGGCGGAAGTCCTTGGTGAACTGGGGAGTACAGCAGACTCCCTAAAGGTATACAAATTCAGAAATACTAAATATACTCTAAGGATGAAACAACAGTTTGTAATGTCTTGGGGGGTGTGTGTGTATGTGTGAGATGTGTTAGATAACTAAACACTATTAAAGTTTTCAACTCTGACTTTAGGGTAGGAATTGGAGGCGATGGAGGAAGAGGGTGTTGTGGGTCTGGGGGACAGAATCAACAAAGGCCTGGAGGTGAAATTGAGGCTTCCTTGGGGAGAGCAATCAGAAAGGCAGAGAATTCCTTTTGGTGAGCTGGGAGAGCTAATGTTGGAGGGGAAAGTTGGGCCCGGAGACTGGAGTTCAAACAGGCAGAGTCTGGAGGGTGGAGAGAGAGGACCTTCCTGTCACTTCTCTCCCCTCATCTTCCCGCAGCTGGCTGAGAGCGACTTCGCTTCCACGTTTCGGCTGCTGACCGTTTTTGCTTACGGGACGTACGCTGACTACTTAGGTAACTGGAGGGGTTGGAGCTCTGGAGACTGGAGGTGGGAGAAAGGCAGTTTACAGAGGGACTTAGAAGTCATTCCTGGAGTACCTGACTTAGATCCCTTGGATACACAGGGTCAGAGTCAAGACCTGAATTGGCATGGAAAACTCAAAAAAAAAAAAAAAAAAAACGAAGGAGGCTAGGACTTCCCACAAAAGTGCAAATCAGGATTTCCTACACTTTATTTTTTTCTAGCTGAAGCCCGGAATCTTCCCCCACTCACAGAGGCTCAGAAGAACAAGCTTCGACACCTATCGGTCGTCACCTTGGCTGCCAAAGTCAAGGTGAGTGACAGTCCCCATCGGGTCCTGAGTCACAGAACACCTTTCTGTATGTCCCTTTTCGAGGGTCTGTTGGAAGGAAATGATCACTGTGTTGCTTCTTTTTGCCTCCCTGCCACGGCCCTCCAGGGCATACATCTGAACTCCACTACCTTCGGCCTTTGGGGCTGAATATGATTCTCCCAGTTTTCTCTTTTGCTTTTGAGCCAACTCAGGTTCTAAGTAAAACACCTTTTGTGTTTGGATTCAGAATAGCAGCAAGGATGCTGCTGACTGTGTCCTTCAACAGCCCCCTCCTCCCTCCTAAGGAACTAGGATCCTGCAAGCTATAGCATGTGACCAAAAAGAAAGAAATCTATAACCCAGAAGTGTTACATGTTTGCATTCCCTGTTGGGTCCTGTTTTTTACTATCCCCCCGCCCATCTGCATCTCCCAGTTGTCACCTCACTCTCCATCATGCTTATGGTTTTACTTAAACCAGGATGTCTCTTGTGAGATGCCTCTTTGGAAGTAGATGGAGTAACTCCAGACCTCCCCCACACCACATCCTCCCGAGATGTCAGGGTTGTCTTCACCAGTCCGTGTGCTGTCCTGAGCTTAGCTGAAGGATGGACATTTAGGCAGATGTTCCCCTGTGGTGGAGGCAGTAGGGGACTCGGGGAGCCTGCTTATGTGCTAAGTCACTGCAGTCATGTCAGGCTCTTTGTGATCCCTTGGACTGTAGCCCACCAGGCTTCACTGTCAATGAGATTCTCCAGGCAAGAGTACTGGAGTGGGTTGCCATGCCCTCCTCCAGGGGCTTCTCCCGAGCCAGGGATCGAACCCAGGTCTCTTATGTCTCCTGCATTGGCGGGTTCTTTACCACTAACGCCACCTGGGAAGCCCAGGGGAGCGTATGTCTTTTATTTAAGATTGTCCTCCTCACCCTGTTATTTCTCAAGTAGGAATACTTGTTATTTATGTTGCTTTAGAACCAGCCTCTTAGAGGAGGTGATCAAGAGTAGGAGTGGAGGGTGGGCAGGAGGACGGAGAGAAGGGGGTCTTGGAAGCCCGTCTCTGCGGTGGCCCCACACAGACCCCACCACCCTTGGGCCCCAGTGCATCCCCTATGCAGTGCTGCTGGAGGCACTGGCCCTGCGCAATGTGAGGCAGCTAGAAGACCTGGTCATCGAGGCCGTGTACGCCGATGTGCTACGCGGCTCCCTGGACCAGCGCCACCAGCGGCTGGAGGTCGACTACAGCATTGGGCGGGACATCCAGCGCCAGGATCTCAGGGCCATCGCCCGGACCCTACAGGAGTGGTGAGACCCCAGAGAGGGAGGAGGGCTGGGCAGGGCAGAGGACGGAGGAGACTTCCGAAGGGAAGGAGGAGGGGGAAGCATGCCTGGAGTACCTGGTGTGGGCAGGGGTGGTAGCCTTGAGTGGTAGTCCCCTGGGGGGTGGGTCACCTGTCTCAGGCTGAATGCAGCCCCGCCCCGATCTGTGACCAGCATTGTCCACAGGCCACTGGCCTTTCCCAAGTCTGTTTTCTTGTGTTCTTGTCTGACTTCAGTTTGTTAACACACCTTCCTTTTTTCCCTCTGTAACTTTTCCCACTGTGTTTCAGCTCTTGCTCCCATTTTGGGGGGGCTTCCATGGCAGGTAAAGAACCTGCCTGCAATGCAGGAGACCCGGGTTCAGTCCCTGGGTTGGGAAGATCTCCTGGAGAAGGGAATGGCAACCCACTCCAGTATCCGTGCCTGGAGAATTACATGGACAGAGGAGCCTGGCGGGCCACAGTCCATGGGGTGGCAGAGGCTCGGACACCACTGAGCAACTCGCCCTGTCCCTTTCCCACCTTGCATGTCACTGCAGGCACTGCCTGTCTCCTCCCTTGTCCTCCCTGAGTGTCCTTCTGTCCTGGGAATTTTGTCACAGGCGGTCTCCAGGTGTCCTGGCGAAGCTTCTTGCTCAGACAGGGTTCCCGACACCAGGACCGAGGGGTCTCCCTCAGTCTTTGCCTCGTGAGTCTGTGGTCAGCGCCCTTCCGCGCTGACCGCCTCCCCGCCAACTCCCACAGGTGTCTGGGCTGCGAGGTGGTCCTGTCAGGCATTGAGGAGCAGGTGAGCCGGGCCAACCAGCACAAGGAGCAGCAGCTGGGCCTGAAGCAGCAGATCGAGAGCGAGGTGAGCGGCTGGGGGGCCAGCCGGCTGGACCCAGCTCCTCCTCCGGCCCGGGCCACTTGTCCCAGGCAGAGGGATTTGGACAGTGGCGGTGGAGACACACCAGCTGGGCAGGGACGGTCAGGGTCTTGAACCTTCCTTGTTTCCCCCCCTTTCCTTTTCCTCTGGGTAGGTCGCCAACCTGAAGAAAACCATTAAGGTTACAACAGCCGCAGCAGCTGCGGCCACGTCTCAGGACCCCGAGCAGCACCTGGCTGAGCTGAGGGAGCCGGCCCCGGGCACCAACCAGCGCCAGCCCAGCAAAAAAGCCTCCAAGGGCAAGGGGTGAGCGGGTGTGGGGGCCACTCGAGTCCAGACTGCCTTCTCCTGTCTCCCTCATCCCTTCAGGCGCTTGTGGGGGTCAGGAATGGGGGGTTGCAGTGCCTAGCAGTTCCCTACAGCCCCTGATGTCTCTCTTTCCCCCTTGCCAGGCTCCGAGGGAGCGCCAAGATTTGGTCCAAGTCGAACTGAAAGGACTGTCGTTTCTTCTTGGGATGTGGGGTGCTCACTGCCCACCTGCCCACCCCGTAGGAGTCCTCAGCCTTCCTGTGCCCCTGGTCAGCTGATAATCTAGGTTCCTGACCCCCACCCCCGCCGGCTCCCTTCCCTGCTCCCCCATTCCCACCCCCAAGCATAGGCCACATCTTCTCCAGGGTCATGGTTTTGTTGGTACTTTTTGTTTCACATGACTTTCTTACATGTTCCATTGTCCCCTCCTCCTTCCTGCCACACTCTTTGCCCTGTTTCTTTAGGACCCAGCATCTGCCCCTGTTGACTACACGCCACCATCCCCAGCATAAACCACCCCCGCCCCAGCCCTGCAAGTTTCTTTCCTGCCGCCCACGCCTTGCATGCCTCTCCCTGCCTGCCCCCCACCCCCGCCCTGCAGCCTGTTCAGGCAGCATCCAAAGAGCCATAGGGCTCCCACCTTTATTCCCACGCGGAGAGCTCTGGGAGCCAGCCTGCCATTCTAGGAGCTGCTGGACACTTGTAGCCTAGAATCTTGTCCCTCTGCAGCCGTTCCCATCCTCTCTCCCCCCGTCAGGTCCTGGGAGCACTGCTGCTCCAGTGACCCCAGAGCCTCAAGACAGCTGTTCTCAAGCTGTCGTGAGATGGTTCTTTCCTGGCCCTGGCTGTCCTCAAAAGCCTGATGGCCATCCTGGAAGGATTTATACTTCCTCTTGTGAGTTTGGTGGGGAACGGGAGGGGATATAGATTGTATAAAAAGAGTATATATACATATATCTATATATAACATGACACAGAAATAAATCTATGAGAAGTCTATCTACAAACTATCTCACCAGCCTTGCATGGGATGTCTTCTGTCTTTGGTATTTGTGGATGCAAAGAAGGCTCTTTCTCTGCCCACTCTAAAGCGAAGTGCCAGAAAAACAAGAGAACCAGGTACTATGCCGAAGCCAACTGGGTGCCTATCTGGAGACCTAGGCACCCAGTTGGACTTTGGACAGATTGCTCAGTATGTTGGCATTCATTCAGAAGCCGAGGGCACTTGCTGAGCACCAGCGTGTGCTCGGCTGGAGATGCAAAATGATGGTCACTGTCCCTGCTCTCAGGGAACTCCGAGTTCAGCCTGTTTATGTCCTCCTCATAGAATTGTAGGGGAAGAGTTGATAGTAAACTTCATTTTTGCATCAAAACCACACAGGAGGGCTTCCCTGATGGCTCAGTGGTAGAGAATCCGCCTGCCAGTGTGGGAGACACAGGTTCGATCCCTGATCCGGCAGATCCCACAGGCAGCGGAGCAGCTAAGCCCGTGCCCCACAGCTGCCGACTCCATGCTCTAGAGCCCGGGGGCTGCAATTGCTGAGCCCGCCTGCCAGAACTACTGAAGCCTGTGCGCCCTAGAGCCCATGCTCCGCAACAAGAGAAGCCACCGCGATGAGAAGCCCACACAGCACAATTAGAGTAACCCCCGAAAAGCCTGAGCAACAGTGAAGACCCAGCACAGCCAAAAGTTACATAAATGAGAACAAATCACACAGGACTCTCGGGTGTCAGTAAGAAGCTGTAGTTGGACTCCTGTCCCCTGTCCAGGGCAGAGCATTCGAGAGGTGTGCTGGGAGGTTTGGTCCCCTTGGCCAAGTGCACTGCTGTGCACACCCTAAACTTGGGGTGCTCTAGTGTAAGGGACAGTTGGTCTCCCACCTGCACGAGAGGCAATTGCCTCCTGAGGGTCCCAGTGTTGACCAAGCCACTCTCCCTAGCTTGTGCTGTCCTCTAGGGGGAGACATCGTTTACTGGTCTTAAAGTATCAGTTGAAATAGAATTGGAAGTAGGGGTGGATCCCGAGTATTTAGTTAAAAGTGGGCTGGGTGAGTCTGTTGTCTTGAGGGGCAGTGGAGACTTACTGAGACGAGTCCAGGGAGCCCTGTCGTCACAGTTGACACTCTTGGCCTCTCATTTTAGCTTTGGTTAGACTAGCCTGTTCAGTCTCTAAGTTGGCTCTGTGACCCCATGGTCAGCACACCAGGCTCCCTTGTCCTTCACTATCTCCCAGAGTTTGCTCAAACTCGTGTCCATTGAGTCAGTGTTGCCATCCAACCACTTCATCCTCTGTCTCCCCCTTCTCCCTTCCTCAGTCTTTCTCAGTATCAGGGTCTTTTCCATTGAGTTGGCTCTTCGCATCAGATGGTTGCCAAAGTATTGGAGACTGTTGAGACTTTTGCATCTTGATTCTAAGTCTTTACCTCTGAAATAAATCCCTCTGCCCTCCCACACCATCCACTTCTGTAGAAGTTTCGAACTCCTGTTGCTTCAAGCCTGTGTCTCCTCCTTCTGCCCATACCCCACTTTTTTCTTGAGCTTTAATATCTCCTTTTCCTGTAAGCTGCCTCCAGCTATGACTCCATAACTGCCCTGATCCCTGCAGTTCCAACCGTCAGTGAATGGCTTCAGGGTCTGGTGCAGGTGGACTGCCAGGTCCTATACCCAGAGGGAGAAGGGGCCATTCACAGCCTCAAGGACATGCAAATGCAGTTTGTCTTTGACTTACAAAGACAGGGCACTTGCCTCCCAAGTCTTAGAGATGGGGGAGTGAATTATTTGTGGACTGTTTTGACCATGGAATTTGGTTCAGGATTTATGGATTCCCAGGTGGTGCTAGTGGTAAAGAACCTGCTTGCCAATGCAGGAGATGCAAGAGATGCAGGTTCAGTCCTTGGGTTTGGAAGATCACCTGGAGGTGGAAATGGCAACCCACTCCAGTATTCTTGCCTGGAGAATCCCACGGACAGAGGAACCTGGTGGGATACGGTCCATAGGATCACAGAGTCAGACAGGACTGAAGTGACTTAGCTCATTAGGGATTTCATGTATAACAAAGCCTAGGGTTCCAGGAAAATTCTCCCAACCAAAAATCCTCATCACTTCTATATTCTCACACGCTGATCCCAACTCTGTGGCAACCCTAGCTAGAGGAACTTAGGGCTGGGCCACTGTGATAGGAGGGGAAAGAGAACTTGCCTTCATGTGAATTCAGAGTTCACACACATGAAACAGGTAACTCTTAGAAGGTTAAGCCAAACTCTCTGGACATAAAAAGTGCATTTATACAAACATGAAAGTGTGTAAAAGGGGGTGCACCTTTATACACAAAAAGCAAAGACAGGGACTTCCCTGCTGGCCCAGTGGTTAAGTCTCTGAGCTCCCAATGCAGGGGGCCCAGGTTCGATCCCTGGTCAGGGAACTAGATCCCACATCCTGCAACTAAGACCTGGTGCAGCCAAATAAATGAATAAATATTAAAAAAAAAAAAAAAAGGCAAAGACAGTGTCTCCAGTCCGTATTTAATGTGCATGTGTGCATGCGTGCTCAGTCGTGTCCAACTCTTTCTGACCCCGTGGGCTGTAGCCCACCAGGCTCCTCTGTCCATGGGCTTCTCCAGGCAAGAATACTGGAGTGGGTTGCTATTTCCTTCTCCAGGGGATCTTCCCAACCCAGGTCTCCCAGATCCCTCTTCTCAAACCCATGTCTCTTGTATCTCCTGCATTGCCAGGCAAATTCTTTACCACTGGCACCACCTGGGAAGCCTGTGTTTGATGAGATCCTGTTAAAGAGAAGTGAGAAATTCTCTGCTTAGGTGCATCTTCCAACATCGGTGGAGAGACAGTAGTTGAGAGGGGCAAGTCTAGGCAGTGAGTTGAGTTCTCTGTTGCTGTGTAACAAATTACCCTGAAACCTAGTGGCTTAAAACAACACACGGTTATTATCTCGGTTTCTACGGCCCGGAAATCTGCACAACTCAGCACTACAGTTTTCTGCTGAGTTTTCAGGGTCACTTCCAAGGCTACCACAGGGTGTGAGTGAGGGTGTCTCAGCTCAGGGTTCCGGTGTGTGGGGCTTACTTACGGGCATAGCCAGTGATTGTCAGCAGGATTCCCTACCTCTGGGTGGTCAGGCTGAGGTCCTCCTTGGCTGACTGTAGGTCAGAGGCTGCCCTCTTCGTCAGAGCAAGAGCCAGAGACCACTTCAGCAAGGTGAAAGCCCAGTCTTCTGTAACCTAATTGGGGAGGAAACATCCTGTCATTCACCAGTCACCAAGTCCAGCCTAGTGATCATTAGAAGACAAGGATCTTTGGAAGGTGTGTCGGAGGTGTCCTACCACAAGCAGTGTTTTTTTGGTCCACCAGCGTCAGAATCATCAGGGGAGCTTTTGAAAATGCATGTTGCTGAACCCCACTCGCACCACGGTTCCTACTGAATTCGGATCTCTGCAGTTGGACTGGAAATGGGACTTCACTGCTCATTGACTCAGCTCGGAGCTGTGATGGCCCATTTATGTAAGCAGACTTGCCCAGATTAGTGCCACCTTGGATCAGCCGTAAAGGCTTCAACTGTAGGGCCTTGGAGGATTGATGAGGGGGCCAGGGGCACCATCTAGGAGAGAAAAATGAGCAAATGTGAAACTCTTGAGTACAGAACTTGTCTGTCCTCTGAGGTTCTTAACTATACGATTACATAATTAAGTGTGTGGTAAGTACTAAGAAGTATAGGGTGACACGAAAGCCCTTACCAGAGAATCGACTTCTCATCTGGGGTCAGGGAAGCCTCTGATGAGGATGTGACCTTTAAATTGAAACTAGACACCCAAGTAGCAGTTAACCTGATAAAGAAATGGGAGGATGAGCATTCTGAGTGGGAGGAATCGGAAGAAGGCCTAGAGCTGGAAAGTTTTCTTCCTGTGACCTGCTTTGGCTCCCTAAAGTGAAATGTGCTGTTTGGGGAGTGGGACAGGGAATACAGTCCTATGCTTTTACTAAGTGTTCATGTATCTAATCAATTGATAAATATATCTTGACTGAAAAATCTGAAAAAATACAAATCATAATGCATACATTGGGATTTTGGGTGACTTTCATCTTTTTTGCCCATCTCTATTTTCCAATTTTTCTATAATTGCTAATGAAAAATAGTATTTATTATTAAGTACTATTAGTAATATTTATGAA